TTCCGTAGCCGACCCGACCGTTCCCTTCTCGTCACAGTAACATCTGAAAACCAAGCTATAGCATTATCAAATCTAACTGATCTATATGGTAACCCCATCCCTGCAGAACCCCATCCAACCCTCAATACTTGCACCGGAACTGTTTCTATCTCCCCAGCAAACTGCCCAACCTATGACAAAGATTGGTCAGATTGTGGAGAAGACTTACTCGCCTGTCTCACAGACTATGATGCGACATCAGTACAATGCTACTCCATTCCTCCCAGAGGTCATCGTAAGAAACCCACTAACATCACCAAAATTACTTTCCGTAGACATGACCTCCCATTTAATGTTTACATAGGTGGAGAATCCCTCCCTGTCCGACCATACCAACCTCCTCCTCGTCAGTGCCAAAATTGTTGGCGTTTAGGACACCCAGCCAAACATTGCCATTCTACAGCCAGATGCCCTCTATGTGCCCAACCTGCCCATACTCGATCAAACATGTGCCAACTGTGGTGTATTTTATAAGGGCTGCCCCACCTACAAATTTGAGTCTGAGGTAGCAACTCTCAGATTCAAACTTGGACTCACACTACGTGAAGCCAGACAGGAAGCACGCCGACGAGGTTTTTCTCTTAATCCCTACTCCAGTAATATTGCTCATTCTACCACTTCCCCTACCTCCCAAGCTCTTACATCCTCTCCTAAACCTACCCCCCTCCTTCTAACTCCCCCTCTTCTACCTCCTACCTTCCCCAGTCAAACTCTTTTGCCATCCTAAATCCAGACACTCCAATCTCTACTACAGACACTCCAATTTCCACTACAACCCTAACACCTTCCCCTCTCCCTCCCCGCACTACCTGCAACAGACAAAACAAACGTTCCACCCACTCTTCCCCTACCACACAATCACCTCCACCATCCTTTACCCCCTACTCTTGAGACACCAGTTTTCTCTTCCCCCCCTCACAAGAAATCCTTTATACCACAAAACTCCCCAACCAACTCCATTGAAGAAACTCTTGAAAATATTCAAGACTTCTTAATGAAAACTGACACCCATCAACCTTCAAATCCAACAACTCCTGCTCCCTCCACACACCAAGTGACTGCCGATATCCATCCTCCTCCTAACGATATTCCCCCTACACCCTATCCTCCTTCCCCCTCCCAACACAGCCCAGTCTCACACATTCTGTTATCAAGCACACGTTTTGAAGCAGCCTGTAGCTCTGCTTCCCCCCCCCCCCCCCGCCCCCCGCCTATCCTCCCTTCACCGACCTCCCAACCTCTTCTGCTTAGACAACCTGATTTCCTCTCAAACGCATAAATATCCCTCACTTAATCTAACCCCTTTACATTAACCCATTCACTCACCAATTCCTTTGCCCAGCTTTGACAACTAATCACTAACTTAACCACCCTTTACTAACATTTACTGTAGTGGTACATGACCTTAGATGTCTAGCACATTTATTTTGCTTTTAACCATTAACCATTAACCATCGCCACTACAGTTCAGTACTGCGTCGTTCGTGCTTTCTCAGATGCCGGGGGTTCACCACTACCCACGCGGTCAGACCTAAATATATATTGAACAGACCTTTGTCAGATCAAGCTCTATACAAATAAGATCTTGTCAGTGAGTACATACTACTGTAAAGTGTTGGATTTTTTTTTTCATCCATTACTCGTATGTAAATATTCTGTGCCGGTCATCGTTGAACTACTTTATTTGCTTTTGCCTTATAATTGTTTTTACTTCTTGTTATTGTCATTATTATTAATATCTAATATCATGTTTGTTATTAGCGGTAGTATGATTGTTATTATTACTCCACAATCATAGATTAGCCGTCAATCCATAGAAATGTAGATGAGGACGTGATGAAATCAATCTCCTTTGCATTATTTGTTGAAGATGTTGGCAGTAACAAAAAGGTGTGATTGTATTCCCGATCAACATGTTAGGTAGAGATTTGTGTAGTACGGAAGGTGCACAAACGTCTATAGTTTTCACATTACAAAATTTTGCAATTCTCTTTGTTTTGGTAATTTACACTCTAATGTGAATGGGCCGATCTTTTGCCTGGCAGTCAGCCACAGCAAATATTTACACCTCAAGAGCTATGTGCGCCTTTTAAGCGCATACACTTGTCACCTCAACCCAGTTCCTGCGAGATGTTTACTCGGCCGTAATAAACCGATCTGAGCGTGATGTATCTTCAAGTACTAACGACGCAATCCTGCACAAACGTGCACACACAAAGCAACGAGACGTACTTACATAGATCTCCGACAGAGCAATGTTTGCCTCGGTCGTATAAATTCTCGTCGGAGATGGGTTAAGGTGACAAGTGTGCTTAACGTACATATATCTCTTAAAATGTTGATATTTGCGGTGGCCGGCTGCCGAGCAAAAGATCGGCCCATTCCCAATAATGTAGTCTACAAAAGATACAGCATTGTGAAAATATAGATATTAATTTTACGTCCTCATCTACCAACATACATTTATATGGTAGATTACTGTAATTAATTTATTTAGCACTGCATAGCAAACCCTCTGATTGTGAATAGTCATCATCACTGGGGAGCTAAAGCTTAAGGGGGCGCACAGTTGCGTCCATCCTGCGTTTCCACCTACAAGGGTCTCTCATGGCAAGCCGCCATTCAGGGCCTCGGCTCATCTCTAGCTCCTCATCAGGTCTGATCAGTCTGCCCAAATAATTATTTCTAAGGTCATCTCATAGACAGGGTTGCCTCAAACAGAGACAACCTTGTGGGCAGGATCGTCCGTGTGGGATGCGACTTTGGTACCTATAAAGTCAAAGTTGGCTGTCCTGGATTGTGCAAGTAATGGGTCCTGTACCAGTCTCACGGTGTAACCATTGGTTGGATACGTGGTCCTGTCAAATGTACCCCAGGACATGTCATAAAAGACAGGATAGAGTCCAGGTTTTACTACCATATAGTAAAATAGCAGTATCAGGGCCTTGAAGATGCATAACTTGGTCCTTCTGCACAGGTACCGGCATCTCCAAATACTCTTGTTGAAGGTGTTCATGACCCTCTGTTAGGCTGATCCGTCTACCGACTTCCTGGTTTCAAACCCCAGACTCATGAGCTACATGAACTATACCACCAAAGCATGTAAAGCTTTCAAGCATGTACCGACTGAACAGGTTCTCCTAGCAGGTCCCCAAAGTTCTATATTTTGCTCTTGGTTCAGGAGACCTCTAGCCTCAGGGCTTCACTTCATAGCTAAAAGCATCTAGAGCCGCCAACAGGGTATCAAAAACAAAGAATAGTAACATCAGCAAAGTCATCGTCTGTAACCTTAAGATTGCCCAGTGTTGTACCACTGACATTGGACAGTAGTTCTGCCCAGTATCCAGTCCACTGAAGTGTCGAAAAGTGGTGCAAGAACACAGCCTTGCCTCACTCCTGAACTAACAGGGAAGTAATTCGACAAGTCAGGGGGAATGGTACCAGACTGTCAGGTGGTAGCCAGGACAGCATGCAAACCACTAGCTTTTAACAGATGGAACAGGGATTTTAACACCACCTACATCCAGCTTTACTACTGGTGGGTCAACTTGGTACAACTGATCAAAACGTTCTCATACCCCAATATGGTCTGAGATGATCTGACCCATTACTGAGCGGATTGCAGTAATCGGTGAGGAGGCTTGGAATTCAGCTTTCTCCGAGCTTATTGGAACGATGAAGGTCATTTAGTAAGAAATGACCTTCGATCTCCTCTGCAAGATTTCTGATAAGCTATTACTTGGTCCTTCTCAACAGTGACCGAGAACTGTGCACAAGGGAATGCACGTCAGTCGAGCCCTGCGAGAAGCATCTGTGGCTTCCAATATCTCCTGTGAGATAAAATTCTGTCTTGCTCTTGAGCAGTTGGATTCCTGAGCTACATTAAGTGTTCCACACTTGAAGGTATCCCACAGCAGTATAGGGTCGGTTAAGTTGTCAATTGCTGTAAAACAACCAGAGATAGCCTCAGCAAACCCCTGAGCACATCCCCCCTTCTTCAACCTGTCCATATGAAATACCCTAGGGTGATCATTGGACCAATGGGGAGGATCCTCCAGCGAATGCTAGTCAGGAAGTGGCCGATCTTGGCCACATTACTCATATTGCTGTGCCATGTCCAACAATGTAGGTCTGATTACTAGTACCAAGAGCCATAATTACTTTATTTCTGGGACATTTCATTCCAGTCAGGAACCGCATTGAAGTCGCCCAGACAAGTCAAATATCTCGCTGAGGACAGCTATCTGTCACAGATGCGCGTTTGACATAAAACACCTCTTTCACATTAAGTTTACAAACATCAAGAGGAGTGTACACAGCAATATGAGATCCGAAGCCAAACCCAAGCTTCAGTCTTAGTGCCATTATACCGTTTGGAGTAAACCCTACCGCAGAGAGCTGAAGCCTACTAGAGATGGCTATGGCTACTCCCTGGAAACGGTGACCATCGCTGCGGCCAGACCCACCCTGATCGTGCCGCTACCAGGTCTTCTAACCTCCGGGAGAGCTATCACGACACTCAGCTGCTTTAATTGACAGCAGTGGGAACCGATCATCCTATCGCAAATGTTTTCCAAGGTCCCATCCATGGGTGGACGTCACCTTTATAATAGTTTCTGCTCATTACAGTTACGTGGATATTGTTATTTACACCGAGAACCTGCATTAATATATGTGTAAATTACGCATTAATGAAGTTACTGAAAGAGCTGTTCCAAACTGACATCCAGAATATACGGACTCGCATTTGCATTCTCATGAAGAAAAATGCAAATATTAGATTTAAAAAGTGAAAGGCAGCCACACAGAATAAATTATAAACCCTAACGTTACGAACCCAAAATAATTCCTCGTCAGAAAAAGCATAAAAGGAAAAATGAAAGTTATATTTGCTTTTGCTTCTTCGTGTGAGAGATGCTGGTAAGATAGAACCTATATTTTTTTTACTGCGTTCACACGTGTCCGTGTTTACATCTTTATTCAAATGGTACATATCCCCACAAAAAATAAAAATCTACTCCAAACAATTATAGTAACATGTTCATTATGATAATAACAATGGGCTTTATTTAAAATCATAATATTTTACACGTGGAAGAACACAGAGCATCTCGAATAGCAGATTGGCGCCTGTGAGAGCGGTGGTTCCCTCGAAATCATATGGAGGAGACACCTGAAAAACAAAAAGCAAATAAAAAAAACACAATCCAAATTTTTCAATTTGAAAATCGACAGTGGGTTTCTGTAAGTTACTTTGGAGAGAAGAAGGAATAATAAAACAACATCAAAGGAAAGATAACAGGAGACACAGCAAAAGCCTAATAATGAATATAAATAGCAATTCAAGTCAGAACATTCCATACAAGATAAGGTCAAGAAAACTGGGCAGGCCAAAGTACCTCGACCAAGTCACAGCCCACGAGGTTTAGGCCACGGCACCCGCGGATGATCTCCAGTGCCTGGATGGGGGTCAGACCTCCGATTTCCGGGGTGCCTACGAGTGGGGGGGGTCGTTAGCAAGAGGCGTGTTAACAGGTTTTATCCAATTTGTCATGCTATGACACAGACGCACATGGACACGCAAACACATACACACACATTTGTGTGTGTTTATAAATATATATATATATATATATATATATATATATATATATATATATATATATATATATATATATATATATATATATAAGAATGCCGGACTCAACCCTACCAGTGCCAGGACAAAAGCCAGGGTCAATAGCGTCGATGTCGAATGAGAGGTAAACGGGTCGATCGCCCATCATGGCTTTCACCTCTTTCATCAAAGGCTCCAGGGACTTGTGCCAACACTGGTGCGCCTGGACGATGCGGAAGCCCTGACAACAAAGGTGGCAGAGGTGACTTGAGAATTTACGCTGGAGGAAGAAGCGTGGGTAGTTTGTTTGTTTCCGTTTGTCTGTCTGTCTGCCTGTCTCTCTGACAGTGTCTCTGACAGTGTCTCTGTCACACACACACACACGCACACACACACACACACACACACACACACACACACACACACACACACACACACGCACACACACACACACACACACACACACACACACACACACACACACACACACACACACACACACACACACACACACACACACACTAGGTACATAAAACAAGACACAAAAATAAAATTCAAATAGATAAACGACCACACCTTGCTTATCTGCCACGCATGCGCATCCACAGTGTAAGAGGAACCGCGTAGGCCTATCTGCACGGTAGCCTTCGGGTCGATGAGGTCCTCCTCGACCGCTCTCCTGAAGGGCGTGCCGTGGGTGATCTTCGCCCCCAGCATCGAGTCACTGACGTCGTTGTGGGCGTCGACGTGGAGGAGGCAGACGGTGCCGTAGCGGTCCTGCAGGAAATATTTTTATGATTATTTTATTTATTCATTTATTTGGTTATCTTATTTTCATATTATTATTATTATAATTATTATTATCATTATTATTATTGTCTGTGTGTGTGTGTGCGAAATACGTTAAGGGAAAACATAGTCGTTATTCTCTTATTGTCATTGTTGTTCTTATTGTTTTATTACTATCTTTATCATCGTCACTATTTATACCATTATTTTTGTTAATGTTATTTGTTTAGTTTTAATACTGTCTTTCTTCAATAATGTCATTTTTGCTACTATATTTTTGTTGTTATAACGTTTTTTCATCATCATTATAATCAGTATTACCATTATTTTCTTTGTTTCTTTCTTTATTTTTATCATTATTATGAATATTTTCATTACTATTAACATCATTGTTATTAATATCATCATCATTAACTAGTTGAATTATTACTATTACTATAATAATATGCACTAATAACCATACTCGAGTATCTCCACTTCAAAGTACAGTCATCTACACGTGAACAGAACAAAACCAATTTGCTGACCGAAACCCAAAGGATGACCACAAAACCTCTTCAGAAATCGAGAGAGATCACCTCAAAGCCAATCTAGCTTTCACCACAACCCTAGCTATGTCACGAGCTAGGTCAGGACAACGACACTCTATCCCCCCCCCCTTTCCCTCCCTGCACAGACACCAATTCTCACGCTTTTGTTTTTGGCAAGTTTATTGACACAGTCGGTCACGTATCTTTCCTTCAGCTGAGTGTGTTAAATCATGCTGTATTTTCCTGATTACCTACCAGATTACCATAGGTCGTTAAACATCGCAAGGGGACTCCATGATCATTGTGTTCCTACCGTGATAAGTTAGTCACCATACAATATCGAAATCACCCATAACCTACCTTAATGGCCTGTAGGATGGGGTAGGTGATGGTGTGGTCGCCGCCCATGGTCAGGGGAATACAGCCATCCTTCACTAACTCGCTATAGTGACTCCGGATGTGCTTGCATGCCTCGGGCAAACTGGGGAGGGTACAGGTAGGTGTTAATGTGTGTCCAGGAGGGTCTTATGTACACACATACACATACGGTGTGAGTGTCATAGGAACATCTGCCGCTGACCTGACCCCCAGAGAAAACAGGATGCAGGTGGCCAACCCCCTGGGCAGGGCAAGGGAAATATGACCACTGACCTGACCCTCAGCTGCAGAGAGAGGTCAGCCCCAGGCCCTGGAGGCCCGCTGAACTCTTTATCAGTAAAAGAGATTTAAGCCACCAAGCTTTTACTACTTCCTGTCACCTGCTATAAGAGGTCCCTTATACAAACTCTTATATTCTCTTTAAACAGTAGTGACAGGGAGTAATAAAAGCTTTGTGGCTTAAATCTCTTTTATTTGATAAGAATTCAGCACACAGTAGATAACACAACGATGACAAGGCTTGGGTTAAGGCGAGGGCGCTAGGTCAGACGGCGAGCCCTGCCAAACGGCACCTGGACGCGCGGTCAGATCGTGACCTCGCCGCGGCACAGAACACTCTGCCTACAGGGGTCATGATGAAACTATATATATATATATATATATATATATATATATATATATATATATATATATATATATATATATATATATAGTTTCATCATATTTATCACTGTTGTTGCTATCATTATCACCATCTTCACCATAAACATATTTTTATCATCATCACCTTTATCAACATCATTATTAGATAAAAAAATACTTTGATCGTTTACTACTGTCATCATTACCATCTTTATTCTTATCACTAAGATCACTAAAATATTATAACCATTATTCCTTCCTCCTCATCCTTTACACTTCTTCCTCTTATCCTCTTCTTTCTCCTCACTCTCCTCTTGTTTCTCATCTTTTTATTCTCCTTCCTCCTCACCCTAATTGTGCTGCGTACTATTCTTTATCATCATTTTCATTTCTTTTTCCCTCCTCCTTCTCGTACTACTAGCCCTTCTCCTTGATTCTTCTCTTCTCTACGTCCTTCTTATTCTCCTTCACCTCCTCTTCCTTCTCCTGCATATTCTCCACCTCCTCTTATTCCTCTTTCTTCTTTTCCACCTCCTCCTGCACCTCCTCTTCCTCCTTTTATTGTTCCACCTCCTCCTTCGTCTCCTCCTCCCTTCCTTCCAGCGCCACCACTTACTTGTAAATATTCATAGGCACGTCCCCCACGTCGGCCACGTTGAGCGAGTCGAAGGGCATGGCGCCCGTGGCTTGGTTGTTCGGGCGAAGGAGAACGGACTCGGTGCGGATCTGCCGGGGCCCCATACGCGTGCCGCTGCGGTTCGAGGCGCCCACGTCTAAGGGCACGCCCACTAGGCATGCGTCTAGGCCTGGGTGGGTTTTGTGTGGTTCCGGTTTAGTGTGTTTTAGTTTTGTGTGTTGAGTTGTATGAGACAAGGGAGAGAGAAAAAGAGGGATGAGGAAAGAAAAATCGTTTAGTAATTGCGATATCTATAGATCATAAATTATACAGACGAAATAAAATAATAACAGTGGCTCAGAACTTTAATGCATAAAGTTAAATGTTAATAATTCTTGGTAACTGCATGAAAAAAAGGGTGAATATGGAGATACCTAGAGATTCTAATGAAAAACATAAGACGGTCACCTTGCGTGTCGTCCTGCACCGGAAGCCGCATGAAGGAGGCGATCCCGCCGGCCCGCGTCATGTAATCCGGCGACAGAGGCTGATTGAATGCCTTTGCGCCTCCGTTAGCCGCGTGGGAGTTCGCCCTGCTCACGCCCACGGGCTTCAAGGCGCCCGCAGTCGCTACACGGGCGGCCACGCTGCCGACGGCCTTTCTGAGCATGGCTGGACGGGCTGGGGGATTTGGAGCAGAGGTTAAGGGTTCGTGTATGTGTGTGTGTGTATTTATATACGTGCGTGTAAGTGCATATATAATATATATATATATATATATATATATATATATATATATATATATATATATATATATATATATATATATATATATATATCTATATCTATATCTGTATATATATATATATCTATATCTATATCTATCTATCTATCTATCTATATATATATATATATATATATATATATATATATATATATATATATATATATATATATATATATATATATATATATATATATATATATGCATATATATATACATATGCATATACATATATACACACATATATATGCATATATATACATAAGTTTATATATATATGTAAATATGTGCATATATATCTGTATATATATGTATACGTCCCCACCCCCCCTCCCTCTTTCTCTCTCTCTCTCAAGTGAAAGTCATTAACTCCCCCCGCCTAAACAGCTGGGGCGAATCTGACCTGACTTGACCTTGAGTGATTGACACAGTAAATGGCTGAGAAAACAACTTGCCATTTCCCTTATAATTGTTTTCACTAATTGTCACAATGTAGGGATAATGCATAGCAACCGTTACATGTTCATTGGTGACACGTTTTATGGGCGCTAGAACGGAACTTGTAACGCGACTTGTATATTTGAATATAACGCCAAGAGATATCCTCATAGCATAGTGTCAGAGTGTCTGAGTACTTGAGGTTGCATTTATGCATAATGTACTTGTGCGTTCCGACGTAATGATAGTAGGTTAGGGAACCGAAGTAATTCATACACTCGGCAAACTTTGAGCTGGTGTGACTGCAATTATGTCCATTAATTTAGGATAGGGTTTAAGTCTGATTTAGGATCCACTTAATTAATCACACCCCGCTCACACTTTTAAATGTCGCTGGCATGGTTGGGTAAATCCCATCGGTTTGTGATTCATGATAAATCCTCGTAGGACATTTCATGAGCGCCCAATCATAGATCCGCAGATAGAGTGGGTTATTTATAGATTTTCCCAGCTCGTTTAGCTTCATAAAATACGGCATTTTTGGGTCAGTCCCCCCGTCAATGAAGGCTGCATGCCAGTTAAGACTTACTTATTTTTCCTCGGAAATCCCAAGAAGATTCGCTCACAAAGAAGCTTGCAAATAATTTTCACATCACCATTCATTAATGCGTCATTCTGTCGCATATCATTAAATGTTAAATTCAATGTGGTAGTTGAAATAATTTTGCATTATGCCTATAAATAATTAGTCGCATTATTGTTAAAATAAATTTTATTCAACGTGTTGGCAACATTACTGCTCTATATGAGGTCACTCTTACTTTCATTTAATACTTTTCTTTTGGTTTCGACAATGGTTCAAGCAGACCTTAGCAGGTTGCCAATTGTCGTTTACTTTACTTTATTCTCGTATCTATCGGAGACGGTCTTGGTAGTTCAAGCTAGGTCCTTGCGGATCGCTACCAACGTCTCCCTCTTCTATTTTCCTCTTTTAACTTAACTTTGTGAATGTAAAACACAAAATTTAAAAAAAGACGAAAATAACGAAAATTAGACCATAAAAACTGCAAATCATAAACAAAAAATCGGCTAGTGGCATTTAACACCTCCTCTTCTCTGTTGTCTTTCTCTCTCTTGGCCCTTATGTGTTAATCTGGCTCACGATATCTGAAACGGCGCCGAAGCCCTGCTGCAGAAACGGTCACCTTCGGAAGCCATTGAAAAACGTCATCGGAGGATCGCCAGAAGCCTGGAGACCAGGATGCTCGTCAGAGCAGGTATTAAGCCGCCCCAGGATGTGGAAGGGTGCCGCCTGCCAGGACGCCCGGAGATCCAGCGAAGACCAGAAACTCGCCGTCCCATGATGCTGTGGACGGGTGCTGCCTGCCTGGACGCTACAGATCCAGTCAAACTCCAGGAGCTCGTAGTGCAGGTATCAGCCGCCCTGCGATGCCGAAGAGGACGCTTCCTGCTGGACGCCCGTAGATCTTAACGAAGAGTACGAGGACATCTGTACGAGTGCACAGCCAAGAAGGACCTGAACGAAAAACTGCGAGATGTGCATTGGGCGAGTAAGCCGCCGAGTTAGACCTGGACGTGGACTACGAGGAAGTCTGGGCAATTCCGAAGTCAAGGAGGACCTGCGCGAGACCTTCGAGGACGTGAGGATGTCGAGGACGGACGGATTACCCTCCCCCTCTCTCTCTCCCCTCAGGGGCATAGCTCGGGCGAGGCTCAGCTTCGCATATCGGACTCTCCCTCTCTCCCTCCCTCCCTCCCCCCCTTCTCTCTCTCTCCCCCTCCCTCCCCCCCTTCTCTCTCTCTCTCCCTCTCCCCCCCCCTCTCTCTCTCCCTCCCTACCTCCTTCCCCCTCTCTCTTTCCCTCCCCCCCTCTCTCTCTCTCTTTTTCTCAATCTCTCTCTCTCTCTTTCTCAATCTCTCTCTCTCTTTTTTCAATCTCTTTTTCTCAATATCTCTCTCTCTCTCTCTCTTTTTCTCAATCTCTCCCCCTCTCTCTCTCTTTCTCAATCTCTCCCTCTCTTTCTCAATCTCTCCCTCTCTCTCTCTCTTTTTCAATCTCTCCCTCTCTCTCTTTCTCAATCTCTCCCTCTCTCTTTCTCAATCTCTCTCTCTCTCTGTAATGACACATTAGTGGATGCTGTGTCTCCTCTCTCTCTTTCTTTAGTATGGACTGGTGTTTTTGTTGAAGTATCGTGGTGTTGAGTTAAAGTTGTCGCAGCTTCAAACGTTTTATTTGCACGGGAATATGGTGGGTAGTGTACAGAGGACAGGCGTGGCAGAGACGCCCAAAGTGGAGCGAGGCCTCTTGCCACGCCCGCGAGGCGAAGCGGTCTGTGAGAGAGCTGAGGTGTTGCCTGAGCCGATGCTGAGGGCAGAGTGACTTCGGCTCTCTGAGATTTTGAATGGTTTACAAAATATTCGCTAAACATAAGAATATGGCAACATTGTTCATTCGTGGGAAATGTCAGTACAGACTCTCTGGTTTACAGCAGTATAAGGGTCTTGTGGTCACAGGTTACAAACATAGTGATTGAGAATAAGGATTTTTTAACAAACATTTTGAGTATAATCAAGATATAAATTAACATGTAGTTATAAAGTATTCGACGGTAAGGGTCGGAATTGCTTGCTCTAGGTGCACTTAGCCATTGTCGTTACTTTCTGGGCGCAGGTCAAACTTGGCACAGTCAATTACCAGTAGGGTCCTTGGTACCGTGGGAAGTCGAGGGTAAGTAGAGGGGAGAGGTCATTAAACCGCTCGGCCTCCTAATCAGGATCATCCTCAATCCTGCTGCAGTGGTTCTTGTGGTGAGTTCTGTTTGGCATTCCTCTTCTAACTCTGCTTGTATTGCAGCTGCCACGACTTTATCGCAACCCCCTGCAGTCGCCCCGACGCCGGACGACTCTCCGAAGGACGACCAAACTCGTCGCTCGTCCTTCGACACGAATGCCTCTAAGCAGGATCATGAGAATCGCTGCTATGCCACTTCGACGACCTCGAACGTCAAATCTTCCACGGTAACGAATTCTTCATCATTCACTTGGGCGACCCAGACTGATGCACCCGCCTGCATTGTCTCCTCAAATCTCATGCTTCCTCCTTTCACAGACTCGATGGTTCCCGTGCGTGTCACATCTACGGATGAGACGGCGCTTGTCACACCTGACTGCATCCGTGTGAAGGGACTCTGTGCTCTCCCTGTGATCTACGAGGTAGTCAACGGAAAGAGTGTGTTGCGCCTGATCAACGCAACCTGCACTCCTGTACGCCTGTGTCGTGGGACACGAGTGTGCGACCGACCTCCCTGTCGTTGAAGTAGAGCCCCAATCGCACCTGTCTGTATCATGTCAGCTACTACAAACGCCCCTGACGCACCCGGACCTGAAGAGACTCTGTGTGAACTCCTGCCTATGGACTTTGCAGATGTTCTCCGACGACTACTGGAGGAGTTCCCCACCCTATTTTCAACCAAGGACCGCCCCTTGGGACGCACCGATGTACTTCGGCACCGCATCATCGCACAGCAACACAAGCTCGCCCGACGAAAGAAGATCGCCGACGGCGTCCTCGTCTTCCATCGTGTATCAGATAAGTCCTCTTTTATGCCTAAACTTGCTCCTGACTTCAAAGGACCATTACGAGTTCTAAAGGTACGACATAATAAAGCTCTGTGCCAAAATCTTATTACCTGCAGTCAAGCCTAGTATCACTTTGACATACTCAAACTAGCCAGCGCACACTATGAGGATGAATTCAATCAACAACGTTCCCTCACCAGTCTCTTCGGAGGCGTGGGTTTGAATCCCACCGCTGCCACCAATTATGTAATGACACATTAGTGGATGCAGACTAAAGAGCCTCATCAGACATAAAGTTGACCAATCAGCCAATTATAGGGTATGATGGGGGGCAAGAAAGTAATTACGTTTCTTTCATGGAATATACATGGTATCAACCGTAGAATTAATGACTTGCTCTACTACATTCATAACAATAATGTTGACGTTATTTGTCTACAAGAGCCCTTCACATCAGCCACAAAAATAAAAACCGCCCCTAGAATTAGAGGGTACCACGCCTATAAGACCACAGGAATGACAGGCCTATTGACTTATGTTAGTGACACCATACCACGTAAGCTGGTGCAGAAGTCTGATGACAATAATGTGCAATATCAGCATTTACATATTCAAACAGCCTCTGGGTTTTTCTCTCTGTACAATGTATATGCAAGGTGTAGAAAGTTTCAAATTGATTCACTGCCCAACTTTCAGAATCACGGCACAATATGCATGGGGGATTTCAATGCTAGACATTATACATTTGGAAACAGTCAATGCAATGAAAACGGCGAAGAATTCCGAAATTTTGTGAACAATAGATCTATGACCATATATGATACAGACAGGGAAACTCACGTGGCGGGGGGCAGGCTAGATTATATAAT